AAAAATACCCAATCAATCCAAAAGAAGGCAAGAAAAGAGAAAGAAGAAACATAAGAAACAAACTAGGATGGCATATTTAAATCCAGGTGCAATAGTAATTATATTAAGTAAATTCACTTAAATCCAACGAAAAGATTACCAGACTGAAAAAAGTCAAATTATATCCTGTTCATGAAACATATATCTAAACCTTGAAGTCTCAGATTGAAAGCAAATGTGGGAAAAAAAAAAGCTGATGGAGCTGTTCTATATCTGAAAAAATGGACTTTAAAGCAAGGATGAAGAAGAAAAACAGTGTCTGACATCAGGCAGATATACACACTTTTAAACAAACTTGAAGCTAATGACATGCCTCAAGATATATAAAGCAAAAACTGACAGAATTTCAAGAAGAAACAGACAAATCCACAATCATTGTGGAATATTTTAAAACACATCTCTCTTATCGTTAGAGCAAGCAGGCAAATAAATCAGTGTAAATAGTTAAACAGCATGATTCACAAATTCAATTTAAAGAATACATATGTGTGTATATTTGTATATACACATACATACATATATACTTCATTCAACAAGTGTAGAATACACATTCTTTTCAAGCCCACATGAAATATTTATAAAAACTAAGCAAAAAATATGCCACAAAGAATATAAAGAATTGAAATCATGCGTAGTATATTTTCTGACCTTATCGGATTTAAGCTAGAAATAAGAAAAAGAGGACTACTGGAAAATATGGATCTGCCTTTTAGAAAACCTCATGGGTCAAAAATCACAATGAAAATTAGAAATAGTATTTTACCAAATGATAGTAAAATGACTTATATTAAAATTTGTGAGATGCAGCTAAAGTTGTGCTTAGAGGGAAGTTTATAGCCTTAAACACAAATATTGGAAAAGAAGAATGGCTGAGAGTTAACGATATGAGAGTCTATTTGCAAAAGGTAGACAAAGCAGAACAAACTGGAAGAAAGTACAAGGAAGGAAATAACATTGATAAACGTAGCAGGTGTTGGGAAAGGCTTGCGGATGGGTTTGAACTTCAATATTCACACAAGGAGGACGAGGAAGAAGAGCAACAGTGTGACTGCGATGGCTCCATACACGACGCCCTGGATCAGGCCTTTCATGAACACTCTGGAAACGGAATTCTTATCTGGAATCAGAGGGAAGGGAGAGTGGTTTTTCACTGGAGGCTTGGAAGTCTGAGCTACAACTCTACCCTTTCCCCTGGCCCTGTGCCCGTCCTCATCCCCCTCCTGTGCACCGTCTTCCTGGCTTGGTCACTAGGCCCCTGTATGCTCGCCTGGCAACAGGAAGATCCTGGAAGTATGGATTCCATGTTGGTTCTTCCCCTCACAGCAAAGTCTCGTGAATTTTTCTGGCTCCCCAAGGAGGCTGATGGTGCTGTTGGCCCACGGGGCACGTGTGGTGGAGGTCACCTGGCAGATGTTGTCCATGCTGTTCACATCCACGAGGGCACCTCCCACCCACCACCGCATGGAGGGTGTGGGGATCCCCTGGAAGGAACAGCTGCACTGCAGCGTCTTCTCCAAGGAGCAGGAGGAGTCGAACAGCCTGGCAGGTGCTGTGGGGAGGGAGGGTCAGGAGTCAGCAAGGCATCCCGACTCTCCCTCCCCACTTCCTCCAAGACCCAGGCTTCTCCTCGTTTGCTATTCACAGGGAGCTTCAGAAAGACTTTCTGGAAGTCCAGAGGGGACTCCGAACAATTCTCCTCCTCTGCCTCAGACTCTGGGTGAGCTCTCACCCCTGGCCTCTCAGCCCCAGAGGTCAGGGGAGGACGTGATGCTCCCCAGCCTTCTTCCCGCAGCGACCCAGGGCTTTCTCTTGGGCCCACCATGTCTCCCACACACAGGCTCCTGCCTGTGCCCACCAGCACTCACAGTTTGCTTGGAGCTTGGCCATGCTACTTCTGGTCAAGTCAGCTAGGGAGAAGTTCAAGTGACATCTGAGGGTGGTGCCTTGGTCTTCAGGCTTTGGGGTGAGGTGCAGCACCGAGGAAGGGGAGTTGCGGGAGACGCCTGAGGTGGAGGACATGGTGGGCCCTTTCCAGGGGAGGAAGAGGGCTTTGGTTTCTTCGCAGATACCTTTGATGGTACAGTTCAAGGTCATAGGCTTCCCAGCTGCAAGAATCTCTGGGATGTGAAGCTCTGGGTTTTGAGTCAGGTCTACAGAAGAGAGGAGGAGGTGGGACAAGGAGCCCTCGTGGACACTTCACTGCTGCACAGCATTTCCAGGTTGCAAAGAGCTTCCCCACCCGTTAGCTTCCTTGGAAAACCCCCACCTTCCCAACAATCTATGGAACCTGGGGTTGTTGTTGTTGGGCATTTTCTTTCTTTCTTTTTTTTTTTTTACAAAGATTTATATTTATTGAACACTAGGGATACAGTGGGAAATCAGAAACCCTCTTTTTGATT